TGCATTGAGATTATGTATTTTCTCTGATTTACAATGTAATGCTTGTAGAAGCCAATAAGACGCAATGTAGATAGAAGAGCCTACAGACGATGAGACTGAAGAGTCGATAACACGATGGTAAGTATGATTTACTGAAAAATATGCAGTTAATAACATGATATTATCAATAATAGAAAGTATAATATTCCACCAGGATACGATGAACAGTCCATGCTTTCCATTTATATGCATTTGAAAACATCTGCGGGGCCTTAATGGCTTTCTGCACAGCAGCGCTAGCTAATCATAGAGTCCACCGAATTGTCTGCTGAATTGAACAAGCGATCAGACGACATCGAGTCTAGGGAGACTCTGGACGAATCGAAAGATCTGAAAACGGGAGAGTTGCCCGCCCTACCATATTGGCCAGCTGTCCCGTAGGAAACTGCGGACATGCCAGCTGGAGGATAAGGTCTTGCGTAGGAGGAAGACGATCCTCCTGTCAGAGAACCGTACCCTCCAGCAGATGAACCGTATGAGCTTTTGTAAGAACCCCCGTAGGAAGCAGACGGGTATGACCCATATGATCCGTACGACACCGGAATATACGATGAACCGCCGCCGGAGTAGTAGCTCGGCACAGGACAAGGCGGTTGGCAAGGCGTGTACGACATCATGCAGGGAATACAGATCATTATCGACGCTCTGGTAGTTGTTTCTGGCGGTGGTGGTGGCGGCGGCGGTGGCGGAAGCGTTTCTGGTTCTGGTGGGGGCAGTGGCGCCGGTGGCAACGGCTGCTCCGTTGGTGGTGGCGGAGGTAGCATGGGCTCGCACGGCGGTATCGGAATGGGGATCACGTAGTAATAATCACCAGCACCAGCGCCAGCGCCTGGATACATGCCACCACCCTGGTTCCTTAACCTCCTTCGACGACGAAACCGCCTGGCTCTTCTTTTGAATCTTCTGTTCAAGTTCTTCAGGTTGGCCATCGCTAGTATGTCCTCGCATTCGCTTTCCGGAAGGCTGCAAGCAACACCGACCTAAACAACGAACCACCTTTAATCCTCAATCCTGTAATTTGAGGTAGGAGAAAAAATACCTGGCTCAGTCTCATTAGAATCTTGCGAAACTCCAGTTGCTGTCCTGGTTTCATCTTCTTGAGAAGGTCGCGCCTGGCCAGCAGTGCCTGAGCGCATTGTCCTATTGATTCGCATGGGTCGTAGTCGCTGAGGGGCAGTAGAGTCCCGTTGATGAAGGGGTACAGGTACGCGATGCCGTTGGAAAAGCTCTCTGTATAATTGCGATACAGATGTAAAGACAAAGTCAAAATTGCCTTACTTTCCATTTCATTTGTAAGGAACTGAGTACTACAGGCGTCATAGATAAGCAGGAAAATGGAACAACAAAGGAGAATAACCCTGACGCACATCGTTTATCGCGTACGTTGAGCTAAGTTACTGAAATAATGCATCCATTAATGTTAGCATATTACATAAACCAATCAATTTTATTAGCAAGAGTCAAGATGATTACAATAATAGTGGCATACAAATTGTTATTCAGAAATATATTAGATGGTAGCCAAAACAAATCGCAAGAATAACTACAAAAGAAGTAAATTACATTGTTCCAGAATATGAATTGTTCTTGTGTGTAACAACCTTGTTTCATGTTTAATCAAAGCTCAGTTGCGTTTAAGAGAAGGAGCTCTGACTTAAAACTTGTAATATGTTCCGCAGGATTGGATACCGCTATATACGTTAATTTCATGGATAATATTATCAGAACTGTTTGTAATGCCGTCCACTCATAAAAGAAAAATGCTAGCGTTATGCAAGCTAGCTGAAAAATCAGAGATGCATGATGGACCCTAAACCCATGTCATTAGGGTACTTCATGAGTTTCTTAGAACTACACATGAACTGGTCATCTTTAACTTGTTCGTATCTTTTCTATACGTGTTGATGAAAGGGAGCCAACGTTTGAATTTGAGGCTTTCGTATATCGGAAACCAACACAATCTCATCGATATCTATATTTAGCGTCATCCGACCTTCCTGGATTACTGCGCTTGCGAGCCTAAGACCTGCACTAACATTTCAGGCCTAAATGCACAAATTCAAAATCTTCACCAGGCGTCCACAGCCGAAGGAAGATCCTTGAAGAAGAACTTCGGCACTCATGCTCAAACTTAAAATAGGCTATTTTGAACCAATGATAGTTTTACAGCTCACTCCTAAGGTATTTCAACGCATCACAAGGGTCTTTAATGACATGGGACTTTCGGTGTACTACAAGACTAGCAGAACATTGGGTGACATTTTATTTAAACACTATATTAATAATACTGAAGAATTGTTAAATGTTGTCTACGAAGTTCAGAACAGAGACTATAAAAAAGTGTATTCCGGAAAGATCAATCGGAATTTTAATATCCGGATAAAACGGAAACTTTCTGTGGTCCGCCTTGGATAGGCTAACGATTCCTGTTCAACATGCGACTACTGAAGGACATTTATTCAGTCAGAACAATGTGTCTGATGTAGACAAAGACCAATCCAAACTAGGTCTACTGATAAAGGAGTCCTTGCATATAAAGGCAATGAAAAACCGGATGTGCCAAGAAGAATACACATCTTCTGTGATTCTTTGCGAAAGGTAAGGGAGGGGACGGACGATTGCAAAACTGATGGGATCGTTACAATGATAACTTCACACTGGTTAGCTCACTGATACCCTGGCCGTCCAGTTTAACAACGTTTTGGTTGTAGCGTAATGTTCGCTCGCTGGGCATCTGCTTTCAAGCGTTCATTTGTAGTCTGCCTAGTCTTGATGATCCTACGCTAAACGTAGCGAAACGCATCGGCAATAGAATGTTGTACCATGTACTGTATTTGGTGTTTTTAACCAAGAACCGTTCAAACACTAATCTATATGACTATGGGTCCAGAATCAAAAATCTTAAGAATTACAAATACAATGTACGTTTAGCTCAATTCAATGTACGTCAATCTCCGCCATGGCCGGTCCCAATCTCCGCCATGGCCGGTCCCATCTCCGCCATGGCCGGTCCCAAGTCCGGATGAGAAAGGAGGAGGGTTGGAGACCGTGGCAAGTCTCCGTAA